TTCTTTGTTATATGGGAACAAAAGCTCAGAAATAAGTGGGAATGGCTGAGGATGGCTGTTCTTACTAACTAGAACTTGAATTGTGATAAATGTCTGTGATGATATAGATGAAATTGGAGGAATGTGTATAGACTTTAAGGAAGGTAAGAGGTTAAATGTAGTTTTTGGATCATTTTCCTTACAAGTTTTATTATATATATAATTGAAAAATCTCAGACATAGAACTGAGTAGGTGAAATGAAGACTAGTAACAATCCATTTAAATTCAATTAAAATATTTGACTCCATTGGCTCTGTAGATTTAAAATAGGTACATAATGTCTTCTTGGGATAGATGTATTTTCTTGCCTAATGAACATTTGGACCATAAAATGAGGTGGATTAATATTTACTGTGATAACTATTTATTACCATTGTAAGGGAATACAGTTTAAAATTTTGAAACTGTAACTTAATTGATGTAACATTTTTAACTATTATTTTGTTTAAGGTTTTGTTTCCTTAGTTATTTATGTCAGAATTCTACATGAGTACAGTTTAAAGAGTCAAATATTCTCCAAAGCTTGTTAGAAGAAATAGCAACCCTGCACAGCCATTTCCTAGATCCCAGATGCAGCTGTTTACATCTTTTAGTCAAGTGTTTTGTATTTAATTTCATTTCTCCAAATAGTACTTTTATATTGCTCCCCTCCCTCCCCCACTATTGTTTTCTTTTGACTTTACATTATGGACATTTAGGATTTGTTTCCTGCTTACACGTCACCCTGTCCATCACACATACGTACGTACATATACTCATCATGGATATTTTATGCCCTCATTGTCTGATGTAATTTTGACTACATAAATATTATTTGTAGTTGAGTCCTGGATGATACTTTGTTTTTCCTTTCTTGCACAATTATTTTCCAGGACATTAATGATTATTTGATGTCTCTCTGGTGGTGCAAGGGGTTAAGTCTCAGCACTGTGAAGCTATAGGCAGCCACTGTAGCATGAGTTCGATCCCTGGCCAGGGAGCTAACCCACATGGCACAGCAGACCTCTCCTGTCTCTCCTGCTGTCCCCCAGCATCTATTTTAATCGGTTGTAGGAAATTTCCCCAAAGAGCTCTTTGGTGCATGTCTGTTTTAGTTCATTGTTCTGTTTACAATGAGTGCCTTTTAGACTAACTCATATGTTCCAGTTCTAGAATATATTTTTAAAGATTTTATTTATGCATATAAGAGCTGGGGTATATGCCAGAGATGGGGGAGTATTGAGAGGATTCACCAGAGACAGAGTGGGGAGCAGAACAGGCAGATCTACTGAACTACACTGCTGAGGGGAGCAGCGGGCTAGACAGGAGAGGTCTGCTGTGCCATGTGGGTTAGCTCCCTGGCCAGGGATCGAACTCGTGCTTCAGTGGCTGCTGATAGCTTCATAGTGCTGAGACTTAACTCCATGCAAACAGGGAGGCCCCTAGTTCTGGAGTATTTTTTGGATGATTTTTGTTGATGATTTCCTCATCTCAACTTTCTCATCATGGAACCCTGTTGCTTTTTTTTGTTGTTGTTGCTTTTTGTTGTTGTTGTTGTTGTTTTTCCCTTTCGCTGTATTCTGGGAACTTCTCCAATCCTTGCTTTTATGTTATGGTATCCTATTTGTAATTTTCAGAATCTTTATTTGTTCTCTAAGTATCTCTTTAGTCCTTGATCCACAGTCACACTATCTACAATATCTACTTTTATCTTCCTGATAAAGGATAACTTTTTTTTAATTTGGTTATATTTTTAATTTTTATTTTATATATTTTTTACATCATTTTTCATTTTTGCACAGTGTGTGCATTTTCATCTTGGTTATAGTCCCCATACAATTCCCACCCCCCTTATTTTGACCCTAATCCCTCCTCACCTCACCCTGTAGTGTGTCTCTGATTTATAGTTGCTTGTTGATTTTGATTTTTACTTTGTATTGGTTAGTCTTTCTCCTGGTCTCTTTTTAGGTTTTCTAAATTCCAGCTATGAGTGAGACCATCCAGTATTTTTCTTTTTCTTTCTGGCTTATTTCCCTGTGCATGATCCCGTCCAACTCCATCCATGTTGCTGCAAATTGCATGAGTTTATCTTTTGTGATTGCTGAGTAATATTCCATGGATGTTCCACATCTTCTTGATCCAGTCATCTATATTTGGGCATTTGGATGGTTTCCATAGCTTAGCTATTGTAAATAGTGCTGCCGTAAACATAGGGGTGCAGGTGCCCTTTTGAATTAATGTTTGTGTGTCCTTTGGGTAAATAACTAGGAGTGGAATTGCTGGATCATATGGAAGCTCCATCTTTAGCTGGTTGAGGAATCTCCATACAGCTCTCCATAGTGGTTGGACCAGTTTGCACTCCCACCAGCAGTGCAGGAGAGTTCCTTTTTCTCCGTATCCTTGCCAACATTTGTTGTTGCTAGTTTTTTTAATAGCATTTTTAAATATATGCCATTCTCACTGGTGTAAGATGGTATCTCACTGTAGTTTTGATTTGCATTTCCCTGATTACAAGTGATGCTGAACACTTTTTCATATGCCTGTTGGCCATTTGCATTTCCTCTTTGGAGAAGTTCCTTTTTAGCTCTTCTGCCCATTTTTTGACTGGATTATTTACTTTGTATTTGTTGAGACTCCAGCTCTTTGTAGATTTTTTTTTTATTTTTAAAAATATATTTCAATGTAGATACTTATAACAATGTCAGAATTAGTAATTTTCCTCAGATAAAATTAATTACAAGGATACATTAAGAATATGAACATTTTATTTTATTTATTTTAATATTTTATTTTATATAATTCTTACATCTTTTTTCATCTTTGCAAAATGTATGCATTTTCATTTTGGTTATATTCCCCATACAATTGCACCTCCCCACTTATTTTGACTCTAGTCCTTCCTTTCCCGCCCCTCCCTTCCCCCCCCATAGTGTGTCTCTGACTTATAGTTGCTTGTTGATTTTGATTTTTACTTTGTATTGATTAGTCTTTTTCCTGGTCTCTTATTTAGGTTTTCTAAATTCCTGCTATTAGTGAGACCATCTGGTATTTTTATTTTTCTTTCTGACTTATTTCGCTGAGCATGATCCCTTCTAGCTCCATCCATGTTGCTGCAAACTGCATGTGTTTATCTTTTTTGATTGCTGAGTAATATTCCATTGTGTATATGTATCGAGTCATCTGTTTTTGGGCATTTGGGTTACTTCCATAGCTTAGCTATTGTAAATAGTGCTGCTATAAATATAGGGGTGCAGGTGCTCTTTGGAATTACTGTTTCTGTTTCATTTGGGATTTTTGTGATCAATCCTTTATCATTAGTGTTGTGTGCAAAAATGTTCTCCCAGTTGGTCTGTTTGTTTTGGTTATTGTGTCTTTTGCTATACAGAAGCTCTTTAATTTGATGTAGTCCCAGCTGTTTATCTTTGCCTTCGCTATCTCTGCTTTGGGCGATTAGTCTTTAAAGATATTACTGATGTATATGTCATGTAGTGTTTCACCTGTATTTTCCTTCTATATATTTATGGTTTCAGGTCTTTCATCTAGTCTTTAATCCATTTGAGTTGGTTTTTGTGCAGAGTGTGAGGTAGTAGTCAAGCTTCATTCTTTTGCATGTAGCGACCCAGTTTTCCCAGCACCATTTATTGAACAAACTTTCTTTGCTCCAGTGCATATTCTTTGCTCCTTTGTCAAAGATTACTTAACTGTAAATATGTGGATTTATTTCTGGATTTTCTATTTGGTTCCATTGGTCCGTGTGTTGCTTCTTGTTCCAGTACCATGCAGTTTTGATTATTATGGCTTTGTAGTATAGTTGATAAAGGATAACTTTTGAAAAGTTTGTTTCCCCCGTGGTCTGCTTTCAACAGTTGCTCTTTAACTGTTATTTTGGTTTCTGTCTTTCGTATTTGAATATTTTCTTTCATGTTTGAAGCTTTCCACAAAATGGTGATTTTTTTTTTAAAGATTTATTTATTTATTTATACAAGCATTGGGTACAGTCAGAAGCGCGGGAGGGTGAGAGAATTCACCAGAGCCGGAGCAGGGAGCAGAGCAGGCAGAAGGACCAAGGTACACTGCTGAGGGGAGCAGCGGGCTGCATGAGAGGTCTGCGCGCCATGTGGGACCCTCCTCTGGTGACTGGGGAGCAGCCGGGGATCGAACAGGCACTGCAGAAGCTGCTGGCAGCTTCGCAACCCAGCACTCAACTGCTGTGCCACTGGGGAGGCCCTTTCTGGTGATTTTCACTTTTTCCTTTTTTGCTAGGTAGGGCACTAAAAAGGCATTTGCAATAATTGCTAATTAGGGAATGTATGTTGACTGCTCTCACCAGTAGAGACTGAACTGGTCCTTGCCATTGAAACCCCTGATGTATAAATATGTCTATCTGATTTTTTATACTGGTTGATTATCCAGAGATCAAAATCTCCAATCTTGTGCCTGCATGCTAATGGCCTGGAAGCCAGGACTCTGAATGCCAAATGAGAAGGTGGCAGCTCCAGCTTCCAGAAGTCCTGATAGTCACTGTAGTTTTGCCTCTGGCCACACCTGCCTTTTCCATTCATGGTCCCTGTGATTCACTCTTCAACAACACATCCACTGCACAGGGGCTGTGCTTTCAAACCGTACTCCTTGCTTAGCCTCACCTCTCCTTCAGTGGTTGTGCTCAGTGCTACTAGCCCTTGAGCCTTTCCGGTCTTTTTCACTGTTGTTTCTTTGTCCCTATTCTCTGCACCATGGCATTAGGATTGGGTTAAGAGAGTTACCACTTTCTGTTCTCTAATTTCCAAAACTGTTGCTATCTTCTCTATTCTTCTTTCTGTAGGCTTACATCCTTAGCAAACAAACAAAACTCACCTAAATAACAGTAAAAAACAGAGTTAAGGAACAGTCTCACTTTTATTTAGGGGATTCTGAGCAGGAGTTTAGTTCAACTTGAATGTCATGTTGACTGTCTGTAATGAATATGCTTTCTGTTCTTCAGGTATAGACAATCGGGCAGAAATACTTAGATTACGCAGGCGATTTTTAAAGGACCGAGAAAAACTCAGTTTGATTTATGCCAGAAAAGGTCTTGATGAACAAAAACGAGAGAAGGTTTGTATATTTTTCAACAATTTGATGCAAGGTCAAAAATGTCTATTTTATATGAAGGGTAAGCATTAAGAAATAAAATTTCTTGTCAGATACTGGCTCCACTACTGGTCTATAAACCAAAATGACAGAAGCAACACTATATGAATTAAATTTATAGTGAAGCATGTGCATATATGGAGCTGTGAATTTGTACTCCCCAAATTAAATAATTATGCAAACAACTGAAAAATTAAAAAATAAAAAATTTACATATCAATTTGCATATAAAAATCAAAAATTTACATATCATTTTACATATCTGACTATTGTAGATATTAAGGGCTCTTGTGACTGAGGGCAAAGGACCCTTGGAAAGGAAAATCAAATGGTGAGTTAAAAAAAAAACTTTGTTCTGACTTAGTTTAAATCCTTAACCACTTAATTAACTTCCAAATCTGAATGTGATGTGGTTGAGTGGTTTCGTTATATCTTCTGTGGAAGAAAATGTACTTTTTACCTTCCTCTTGTCCCAATAACTGCAACTATTCTTTTGAAGATTAGGGTCTAAAATTAGTGTGCAGGGTCATTCCACACTACTCTTTACTGGCCCACCACACCTGGAGACCATTTTTTCCTACTCAGAGAGAAGTAGCTATGAGAGTTAATTAAACTTGAAACCTACTAGGTGTGCTTGAAGGACATAACTATCTAGTCAGTAGAAGGAAGAGATAAAACCAAGATTATTGGGTGAAAATTGCAGGGAATATTTTGGCCTGTTACCAAATGTGTTTTAAATAATAAATACAAGATGGCCTGTTGTTTGAGGCAATACATTCCCAGATACAGGTATTTGAATTTCATTAGTAATGGCATAGATATAATTAGATCTCAGAAGGCATGCTTCTATGGTTGTTCATTTGCTGGAACCTCATACTCAATGTCAGGCATTACATGATACTAGTGGTACAGAGGTAAATGTAACGTAAGCACTCATAGAGCTACAATCCAATGTTTATAGCCAATGAACGAGTTAAGGTCATAATTTGTGCAGTGCTGGAAATTAACCAAGTGATAAACATGTCTGTGAAAGAAATGGTGAGGGAAACCTTTTTGAAGAGTTGTCTGAGGTGGGAAGCAAATGATGAGAGAAAAGCTGTAAAAAAACATTCTGGGCAAAGAAATGAGCAGGTCTCCATATCCCTGGCAAAGGAGAGTCAAAGGTGACTAAAGTGGAAAGGACATGTTGACCAGTGGATGCTCAGGGTTTGGAGGGAGGCGGGTGTAATTGGAACTTTGGAGACTTCTCTGGACCAAGATTTGATAGAGATTTTAATTTGGATTTATTGTCTACTATAAATTGGTAAATCAGTGACTAAACCATTTTGGATAAAAATTGTCATCCATTCACCTTTATATTAAAGAGAGCTACTAACAGTTTAATAACTGATGAAACACTGATTTTCTTTTCTTTTTTTGAAGATTTATTTTTATTTATTTATCATATAAGAACTGGGCTGTAGGCCAGCCAGAGGTGCAAGGGGTGAGAGGATTCACCAGAGACAGACTGGGGAGCAGAACAGGCAGGTTTACTGAAATGTACTGCTAAGGGGAGCAACAGGAGAGACAGGAGAGGTCTGCTGCACTATGTGGGTTAGCTCCCTGGCCGGGAATTGAACTCGTGTTGCAGTGGCTGGTGATAGCTTGACAGCACTGAGACTTTAACCCTTGCACCGCTAGAGAGGCCCACCACTGATTTTCTTAAATGAAAATTCTAATCTGTTTGTTGGTTCTAATGATTATAGGAGATCAAGAGTGAATTAAAAATGAAGCATGATGCACAGGTTATTTTGTACAGAAGTTACCGTCAAGGAGACCTTCCCGACATTCAGATTAAATACAGCAGTCTGATCACCCCCTTGCAAGCTGTGGCCCAGGTTTGTCCATGAATGTTGCATTTTCTCTTGCTACATAAACTCCTTGAACAGTTCCAGGGATCTACTCAGTGCAAAGGAATGTGGTTGAGGACTACACTGCATCATAAATGACATATTACTTTATCCTAAGCAATGGTCTTGGCTGGAAGACTTTGTTTCAGGTCCTGGCTCTGCATTTCCCATCTCTGAGGTTGTCTTTCATGTGGTCTGACTGAGAGTCATCTAGAAGATTGTCCTGCAGTTGGGGTTCTTGTCAAGTTGTTTAAAGCTCTTCCTCTATAGTTCCTCTACAAAATGAGACATTGAAATATATTTTTCTTGCCAATAATGTTGGTCAGGATAAAGTAATATATTAAAAAAAATCATTGTGTTAAGCCAGTTCTTTTAAGGGGGTGGGAAAATCAGGAGACTATCAGCTTATCAGTGTGATCAGTCTTCTGCTTAGTTAATTCTCTTAATAATAGAGCAATGGATTTCTAAGCCAATAAAGAATAAAATTATTGAGAAGGAATGAAGTGTTCTAGCTGAATTTTTTGATGCAAACAGATAAAGGCCTGATTAATATTCCTTTGACTTTCATTGAAATAATTTTAATACTGGAGAGTGTTTTACATATACACATATGTAAAATTATTCCAGGTTCTGAAATATAATGCTTTGTACTTTATTGCACTTAAGTTCCTGGTACTAATACTGACTATAGTAATAGATATTATATATGCATATCCCTTTACTTTTTTTTAGCTTTTTATTTAATCTTAATAATTTTAAGTTAATAGAAACTTACAACAATAGTACACTAAACCCTTCACCTAGCTCTCTCAATGGTGATAGCTTACATAACATTCTTTGCTGTTTTATTCCATATGTAGATTCATGTAGCTATCATTATGGTATATCCCTTGGTTATTATGGAGTGCTTTCAATTCTTCACATTAAATTCTCCCAAGAATTTTGTGACATAAATGCAGTTATTAGAATTTTGTGACATAAATGCAGTTATTATGGAGTGCTTTCAATTCTTCACATTAAATTCTCTCAAGAATTTTGTGACATAAATGCAGTTATTAGAATTTTGTGACATAAATGCAGTTATTATGGAGTGCTTTCAATTCTTCACATTAAATTCTCCCAAGAATTTTGTGACATAAATGCAGTTATTAGACATATTTAAGGTGATGATCAGAAAGTTAGCAAAGAATGGAAAATACAAGTATTTTCTTCTTTTTTTCCACATCCATGTTTTCTAAAATTTTATAGTGCTCCACTGTAATACATTAATTAAAATTAATAAATAACAAAGAAATTGAATTTTAGATTTTTCTTTGATACAGGTTTTATTAAACAAAATAAAAATTTTTTTTCATGCTTTCATTTGAAAAATGTAGACATTGCATACTAGGAACCGTTCATAGTACTGGTGTTCTAGGCACAAAGGACAATGTTCTTGTGGTCATGCAATGTGGTGTGAAATCCTGGGTAGATCAGGTAGTGTGCTGTGCTGATGGAACTAAATAGCCCAGTCATGAAAAACATAAAACAGCTACTTATGGTTTTAAGAGTTTGAGTGACCATAATGATGGAATTTTATTTAATTGGCATTTTTTATTATGCTCAGCTACTTGTCTTAAGCTTTACCATGATACTGATATGCAGATAATACCTAAAAATCTAATTTAGTCTTTCTCTAGGAGTATCAAATATTGCACTAAATAATTATTTGTTATCTCGATTAATCTTCACCCAATTGTATGAAATGTGTTTTGTTATCCTCATTTTTAATACAAGGGATTTGAAGGCCCAGAGTCACTGAGGAGTTAAGCTGTGTGATTATGCTTTTAATTTATATCTCTGGGTCTCAAGTTTTTGACCAAGTCCATAATTGTCATGCCAATTATACAACACATGTCAAATTGATATATTTGGTTAAGTTCCAAATACTTCCCTGTCACTGCCTGTTAAAACTTCCCAATTAGAATGGAAATATGTAGGGCCTCCCCTGGTGGCACAGCGGTTGAGCGCTGGGTTGCAAGGCTGCCCGCAGCCTCTGCAGCACCAGTTCAATTCCCGGCCACCGATCAACGGCCACTAGCGAGGGTCCCACAAAAAAAAAAAAAAAAAAAAAAAAAAGAATGGAAATATGTAGTAGATATGTATGCAATAGTTTGTATTTTCAGATTGCATTGGTGAATTATAACATCTTTTCTTCAGATCCTAATTTGTCTTTCTTTTGAATGTTTTACAGAGAGACCCCATAATTGCAAAACAACTCTTTGGAAGCTTATTTTCTGGAATTGTGAAAGAGATGGATAAATACAAGACCATGTCTGAAAAAAACAGTATTACTCAAAAGTTGCTCCAGGACTTCAGTTATTTTCTTAACACTACTTTTTCTTTCTTCCCCCCTTTTGTTGCTTGTATCCAGGTAAAAGTCCAAACATATGCTTCATAAAATATGCATTGTCTGCTTTGCCTTATGACATAACTATGTCATAATAGCATCATTTGTTTTGCATGTTCACATACCACATGTTTAACATAGCAGATGTGCTCTGTCTGGGTTACTTCTTCCCAGATGGGTAGATGTAATTTATTTATTTTGTTTTTTAAAAGTTTATGTGTGAGAGAATAATCAGAAATCAAACAGGATATAAAAGTGTTCTGTTTTTTAATAAGGCCATCCCATCACTTTTGACTAAACCCTTCTTGTTGTTTAGTTGTTTTTCCTCATTCCTGTCTCCTGACTATCTTCAAGAGATCTTGATTAAACATGTCCTGTCTATTCTAAGTGGCGGAGACACAGTGAATAAGAGGCACAAATCCCTGACCTAGAACTTACATTCTAGATGGGTTATATAGAAGATAACATGAGGTTGTAGTAAGTGTTACAGTACTTGAGTAATTCAGGAGTATTAAAATAACATAGGATAGGGCCTCCCCAGTGGCACAGCGGTTGAGCGCTGGGTTGTGAGGCTGCCGGAGGCCTCTACGGCTTCAGTTTGATCCCGGCTGCTCCCTGGCCACCGGAGGAGGGTCCTACATGGTGTGCAGACCTCTCCTGCCGCCCGCTGCTCCCCTCAGCAGTGTGCTTCGGTCCTTCTGCCTGCTCTGCTCCCCACTCTAGCTCATGGATTCTCTCACCCTCCCGCGCTTCTGACTGTACCCAGTGCTTGTGTAAATAAATAAATAAATAAATAAATAAATAAATCTTTAAAAAACAAACAAACAAAAAAAATAACATAGGATACATGAAGCTGATAAGCAGACATCTTCTCAATTAGGATAAGCATATGTTCTTTTATAGATACTTAGATGGAGTGGTCTGAAAGGGTTTCTATGGCAATACAATTTAAGCAGAGAACTTAATGTAGGCATACTTTCAGTTAATACTTTACATGCTTTTTGGAAGATTACTTTTTCATGTAAAAAATGTTTTCTTTGCCATTCAATACATGGATTCATTACATTCTAATAGAAAAATCTCAATTATTTTAATATTTTTTAACTAGTAATCTCTCTGAAGTAGTTAAAAGACTATGTTCTTTAATGCTAGTTAGTAGTAGCTTTGGTTTGCAAACTGATTAGATAATTCCCAGAGATGAAGTGCTTAGTTTTCCCATTTCATTCTTTTTGATATAACATGAAACTGTTGATATAGTTCTTTATTATTTTTACATACATATTTATCTACTTGTTATATAATCATTTACATAAACATATTTATATACTTAGTTCTTTTCATATATTAATTTTTTTCCTGTTACTTAGATTGATAATTTGCAATTAGAATTCTTTCATTTTTTTTTTCTTGGCCAAACTAAAGTTTAGTTAAGATTTGGGAAGTTGTTGTTTTAAATCAGCCAGTATTTCAAAATGAGTCTCTCTTTACATTGTATTCTGAAGTGATTTTTAATATTTGAATTCATAGTTTTGACCCCTTATTTAAAAAACTAGTTTTTCCATTGTTGTCTAGGTGAGTCAATAAGTAAATGCCTTCATTAAGTAAATAAACTTAAAGTAAATAAACAACTTCTGCTAATCGTGGAGCTCGCTGTTTGGCAGTGGTCATGGAAAAAGCAACATGAATGCTACTCAGTGCCTTTGCTTTATACTTTTCGTATTGTGACTTTCTGTTTGTGGTTCATATCTGAAACTCCAATCTGTTTTCTCTATCCAGGCATCATAGTGTGTTGGGCAGAGCAATCCTGTGAGTTCTTGTTCTAGCAAGGTAGAATACTCTCTTTGAAATACCACTGCCTCACAAGGACTTCTCAAAATGAGTTTCTTATCTGCAACATACCCTGTTTTTTTCAGTCTGTCCCAACATTCTCCTTCAAACTGGAGGAAAAGTCCATTTAGCCATTTTTCCATAACACCATCAATGACTGGCAAATGGACATTAATTGATACCCTCTGCTTATTCTCTTTATGGGGAAAGCTGGGGTGGGAAGGGCATACTGTTTTTTCCAGATGTCTGCACATATGTGCTTACATATACACATCCACAAGATCTTGTGTGTACATGTAGGGTTTTTTTTTTTAAGATTTTATTTTTTATTTATTTATACAAGCACTGGGTACAGTCAGAAGCGCGGGAGGGTGAGAGAATTCACCAGAGCCAGAGCGGGGAGCAGAGCAGGCAGAAGGACCCAAGCACACTGCTGAGGGGAGCAGCGGGCGGCAGGAGAGGTCTGCGCGCCATGTGGGACCCTCCTCCAGTGGCCCGGGAGCAGCCAGGGATCGAACTGGCGCAGCAGAGGCTGCAGGCAGCTTCGCAACCCAGCACTCAATCACTGTGACACCAGGGAGGCCCACATGTAGGTTTGTTTTAATGCAAACACTCTTTCAAACTTTATTGTTCTCTATATTGAATTGGGATTTATTTTTCATTATGTTGATATATACAAGATTCAAATTGATAGTTACGAAGTAAAGGTTAGTATAATAATTCGTGAAATCCTCTATTCAATATTATTGAATAAGTTAGCCCCTGGTATAAAGAGATAGAATGTATTAATTAGGATAATGAAGAGATGTGTATACCTGTTTTTTGTGATTGGATATGAAATCTTTGTGTTTCAGTTGTTTTTCTCATCTATTCAAACTAAATATTCCTGCAAGTTGCATTTCTTTGAATATATAGAACATTTTAAAATGTTCATATTGTGATAGTAGTTTTCTTGCTTTAAATTAATCTCTGGTTTGGAAGTATTAAAATAAAGGTTGTTTCTCCCTTTGGGCGAAGAGCGTTCAAGAACATTTGTTAATATAATTACACACAAAAAACTCTGGTTATATCACTACTTACGTCAAAACTTTCTTTTATATTTAGTAAAGCAGTTTATTCACTTGTGAAGTTACGGTCAAAGTACCACAGGCTAAATAACTACATGTGTTTGTGGTTTCACAGGAAATCAGTTGCCAACATGACGGCTTACTGAGCCTGGACCCAGCCTCTGTCAGTGTGGGCTGCCTGGCAAGCCAGCAGCAGCCCGTGGGCATACGCCTGCTTGAGGAGGCCCTGCTGCGCTTGGTGCCTCAGGAGCCACTTGCCAAGCGATTTCGGGGGAAACACCACTTCACTCCTGATGTCGCCAGATGGATGGAACTTGCTAAGTAAGCTCTGCAATACAGACACTGTGGGGAGAACAGTGAATTTGACCAAAACCATGCAGAAAAAGTTTGCTTTTATTTTGGCAAGAAATGAACCAATAAAGTTGATAGTAACACTTCTGAAACTTTTTGAAAAACCTTTCAAAGTGACTACCATTCTATGAGTCAAGAAAAGTTGTCAGGACAAGGCATGTCTTGTTCAAGGAAAAGAATTTTAATTCATCCTATTAATTTATTTTAATTTGCAATCTTTTTAAACTCTCAGAAGCTCACTACCTGCTAGCCCATCCAGTTTTATGGTTAGTTGTGCACTAAATGCATACATTTCCCACTGGATGGCTAGTATTGTGAGGTCTGTGAGAAATATCTAATTTGTATTTTAATTATTCTCAGCACCTGACACAGTGTCTTAATCACTCATAGTGCTCAATTAAAATAAAAGATAGGGGGCCTCCCCCATGATGCAGCGGTTGAGCACTGGGTTGCGAAGCTGCCCGCAGCCCCTGCAGCGCCGGTTCGATCCCCGGCCTCCGGATGAGGGTTCCACATGGCGCACAGACCTCTCCTGCCATCTGCTGCTCCCCTCAGTGGTGTATTTCATCAGTCTGTCTGTTCTGCTCCCTGCTCTGGCTCTGGTGGATTCTCTCATCCTCCCGCGCTTCTGACTGTACCCAGTGCTTGTATAAATAAATAAATCTTTGTTTATTTATTTATTAAATATTTATTAAATATTTGTTTATTTATTTATTAAAGATTTATTTATTTATACAAGCACTGGGTACAGTCAGAAGCGCGGGAGGGTGAGAGAATTCACCAGAGCCAGAGCAGGGAGCAGAACAGGCAGATGGACCAAAATACACTGCTGAGGGGAGCAGCGGGCGGCAGGAGAGGTCTGTGTGCCATGTGGGACCCTCGCTGGTGGCCGGGATCGAACCGGTGCTGCAGAGGCTGTGGGCAGCTTCGCAGCCCAGCGTTCAACCGCTGCGCCACCAAGGGAGGTCCAATAAATAAATCTTTAAAAAAGAAAAAGAAAAAAATTTTAAAAATGAAACATAGGAATGACTATAAAACAGTGAAAAGTACGGATTCGCCACTCTTATTTTACTCTTTTCCCCAAGAACCAAAGATCTAAAGGTCAGTGCCATAAAATAGAAGTTAAAATTAATTTTTAATAAAAATTTTCTTTGGGTACAATTGGTTTACATCACTGTTAATATTTTGGAAGTATAGGGTCTCCCCCTTCAGGTGTAATCATCATCACAGGGCACCCACCACTAAAGCACACACAGTTCTCCACCACAGTGCCTTGTGCTCTCTTTTTTTTTAAAGATTTATTTATTTATGCATATAAAAGATGGGGTGTAGGCCAGAGATGCAGGGTGTGTGTGTGTGTGTGTGTGTGTGTGTGTGTGAGAGAGAGAGAGAGAGAGAGAGAGAGAGAATTCATCAGAGACAGAGTGGGGAGCAGAACAGGAAGATCTGAAATATACTGCTGAGGGGAGCAGCAGGTGAGACAGGAGAGATCTGCTGTGCCCCATTGTGCTCTCTTGCCACCCTGTTGGAGTCCCTTCCATTCCCCCCAATCCCTCTGGTAGTCTCAGTTCCATGGTCAGCATTTAAGGGTTGGTTTAAAAGTTTGTCTTTGACCCTTTGTTTGGTTTTTCTGTATTCTACATCTAAGTGACACCATCTGGTATTTATCGTTCTCGTCTGGCTTATTTCATTTAGCATATCCTTTCTAGTTCCATCCATGTTTCCACAAATGGCATGTGTTTATTGACTGCTGAGTCTCATTCCATTGTGTATATATACACCACATCTTCTTGATCCACTCATCTGTTTGGGAGCATTTAGTTTGTTTCTATATCTTGGCTATTTCTATATCTTGGCTACAATAAACATAGCAGTGCTGGTTTCCTTCATATTAGTGGTTTTGAGTTTTTCAGGTGGATACCTAGGACTGGTATCCACTTCTCCTGAGCACTTTTGTGGCTATTTGTTGTTTTTCCGTCTCTCCATTCAATGCTTTTAGGGCCAAGATGCTGTGGGTGGGATTTCACTAGGTGTAGCTCTGCCCTCTGCTTTGGTCCCTGAGTCTGGGATCTTTACCCATGGACCTGGGCCTCTTGGTGCCCAACAGTGCTTGGGTCCTTCACCGGGGGCTTGCTCCACCTTCCTTGTGCTGGGCCTATAGTGGGCTGGAGTTTGCTCGTGCCTGGTGAGGATTTGGGCTTTGGCACGTCGCTCTTGCTCATTATACAAATTAAATTTTGCAGAATTAGACACTAGCTTTGTAGACTCAAGGTATTGTTTACCAAGTTTAGTTTCCTGTAAAGTGGGGCTATAACCTAGTATTTTATGTTTTTGTTATTCTGCTGCACTGTTTAAAGGACAATTAACTGGTTTCAGAAGGATTCAAACTTTTAGAATCTATTTAATTCAATTACTTTGTTTACTTTGGAAAAACAAATTCAGTTTTGTATTTATGCCTTTTAACATTATTTAATTCTTTCCTTATCTGCGGTTTCTTCATAAAGGCCCATGTTTCAGATTTATGAGCAAACAGTAAGACTTTGTGTATTTAGTATTTTCAAGGAATGAGAAACTGATGTAATGTGTTTTTGCTGATTAAATGAAGTATACAACTCTAAGGGCTTAAAATTTAAACATTTTCTTCAAACTTTATTTAATACATCCTCATACTTTGGTATATATTTTTGCATTACCATCAGACAGAGTATTGAGAACAATATTTAGACTCCTCTTCCTTTGTCATAGTTCATGTTCTTACCATGTTGTAGTATACATAATCCAAGGAGCCTGGTGGGGTCCACATATGGTACACATAAAGCTAATCTCTTCTGAGTTTCTGGAACATGTTCTCATCTCCTCTTGGACTGTTGCACTGTGAGCTGCTGCCTCCCACCTCCCCACCTCTACCTGATTCATTAACGGAGTCTTACCTATTAGATTTTTATGACATTTGGTTATAGGAGAGAGCCCAAAGGGCTCTCTTTATGTAAATACATAAGATTTTAGACCAGGAAGTGACCAAACTTTGGGAAAACCAAGGAGTAAGGAGACTTTCCCTCACTTGTCAAATGATTTCAGGGAACAAACTTAATGAATACTAAGGAGGAAGTTTGGTTGATGGGGTCAAGCAGATTTTTGTTAATGTGAAGAGATGCTATTGCAGATATTAAGACTATAAGAAGTTGAAGCCAGCCTGTCAGCTCATTTATCTAAATGAGTTAAGTTCTCACAGCTTATTTCTGGTCACAAAAACATCAGCAGACTTCTAAATACAGATCCCAAGTACTTCTAATATTTAAAAAAAATGTTAGATGACTAAGAAATTCCTTATCAATAAAATTGAGACTGTCCATAAAACATGGACCAAAATATGGGATTGGTAGAAAGGGGATTTATTTTTACTTCTGCATTCCTGACTAAATTCCAAATTTTGGTGCTAGAGAAGTGTTCCTGTTAGGTCACCAGTAGTATGTGTTATGTGAATATAATGGATTAACACAGAAGAACTTATTTAATGAAACAACCCTATTACATTTTCAGATTTTACCTTAGAATAATTCAGAATTCACTTTAGAGCAATTTCTGCCATCTGTGTCACTAAAGTAATTTCAAAATTTTAAAAATTATATTTTTACAAAACAAAAATATTTTTAGTTAATATAATATGTGATATGTTGATATTTATTTCTTTAGAGTAAATACCTTAAAACTATTGCTATTCATTAATTTGGACTTTTGGGGGCTTTATTTTATAGATTGTATAGATCAATTGGAGAATATGATGTCCTCCATGGTATTTTTAGCAACGAAATAGGAACAAAGCAAATCACTCAGAATGCATTATTATCAGAAGCAAGAAGTGATTATTCTGAAGCTGCTAAGCAGTATAATGAGGTAAAATTGATTTCTATCAAATATGTCAGTTGCTTAAATACTTGTTCTGTGAATGAGAAAACTGTTAGCTTTAGAACTTAGAACTTCATGATATTTATGCTTTATTCCTAAGATTTTATACAAAGATTAATAGCAGAGAATGGCTTCATAATAACTAATTGTGAGTTATTGCTATATCTCTTATTTGTTTAAGATGACATATTTGACTGCAAGAGAAAGCATTTTATAAATTATCAAGCACTGTAGAGCTGTAAGTTGTTATTTTACTATCTGCTAATATGTACTTTGTAGTTGGGTAGACTGTTTTCTCTCAGTAAGTAAAACAATTATAAAGAGGTGAGTTAGACTGGTAAGAATTGGTTTTGGAAGAGGACTATAAGTTCAATTTTGCACATTTTGTGTTTTGACTTGCTATTGCTATCCAAAGGTAGACCTAACAGGTAGTTGAAATTCAGCACCTGTGACCTGTGAGAATTTTAAATGAACAATCCAAGTTGTAAAATACTCTTCAATTTTCTATAAATGTTCTATTTTCTCATTTGCATTCTAAGAACTCTTTGTATGGTAAATAACCCATAGTATTGATTTAAATCAAATTAACAATCATTAAATGTCTTACTAATTTTATTAATTGGCATCATGGATAAGTTTCTTAGAGAAATGATTACTGCTTGGTTAGGGTTTTTACATTAATTTGTTACTACAAGATTCCTTTTGTTTGTTCTTCCATTCAATGTTACTCTCTTTCCTTTTCCCTTTGCTTTTCCCTTGTCATAAAGCTTAAAATGTTGGGCCTCCCCGGTAGAGCAGTGGTTGAGCGCTGGGTTGGGAAGCTGCCCGCAGCCTCTGCAGCGCTGGTTTGATCCCTGGCCACCGGGTGAGGGTCCCACATGGCGCGCAGACCTCTCCTGCCGCCCACTGCTCCCCTCAGCAGTGTACTTTGTCAGTCTGCCTGCTCTGCTCTCCGCTTTGACTCTGGTGAATTCTCTCACTCTCCCACACTTCTGACTGCATCCAGTGCTTGTATAAATAAATAAATCTTAAAAAAATTATTTAAAAAAATAAAGCTTAAAATGTTTGTTCTTAGTTGTATGTTACATTACATATAATACAAATGTTTTCCTTTGAATTTTTTCCAACTTTGAAAAGTAATCTTAGGAACTTTTTTCTGCCAGGCTCTCAACAAACATGAGTGGATAGATGGTGAGCCTACGGAAGCTGAGAAGGATTTTTGGGAACTTGCATCCCTTGACTGTTACAACTACCTTGCTGAGTGGAAATCACTGGCTTACTGTTCTACAGTCAGTGTTGACAGTGAGCACCCTCCAGATCTAAATAAAATGTGGAGCAAATCATTTTATCAAGTGGGTAGAATTATTTTTTAGGTCACTGAAATAAATGCTTTAGGTGGTCAGGTATTTTCTAATCAATTAAGTTGTTTAAAACTTTTAAAAAATAAGGTAGTAATTGTGAAGTAACTGTTTATATAATATGACTCCCCCACAAACTCTGTAGTAGTTTTAAATTTCTTACCTTTTCAAATAAGTGTTATTTTTGCTAACCATTTCAAAATAAATTGAATACATTTAAAAATAATATTAACATCCCTAGTATGAATGACTATATGGAAGACTTTCACACTGCTACTATCTTGGCCATGCTCAGAGAGTCCTCGTTTTTTATTGTCTTTCAGCTAAAAATAGTTTCTGTTTTTCTGTCGGACAGGCTCCTATATATTATGTGATTATAGAATGAACAGTTTTAGATGAATTTGTTTTAAATATTGTAATTTTAGGTTGAAACACCAAATGTCATTTGGCTCCAAATCTCTACCTATAAAATTATGTCAGAGAATATTATAATAAGTAGGTATACTTAGGCTTTCTGAAGTTACAAGTGAATTCTTATATTTCTTAGGAGACCTATTTGCCATACATGATCCGCAGCAAGTTGAAGTTACTGCTCCAAGGAGAGGGTGACCAGTCTTTACTGACGTTTATTGATGAAGCTGTGAACAAGGAGCTGCAAAAGGCAATTATAGAGCTACATTACAGTCAGGAATTGAGTCTCCTTTATATCTTACAAGATGATGTTGACAGAGCCAAATATTACGTTGAAAATTGCATTGAAATTTTCATGCAGGTAATACATTTGAAATGAGCCATTACTAGGATACTATTTAAAATTAGTAAATTTATGAATAAAAAATCAACAAGCAAAAGTTTCCATTCACTGTGTGATAGATACCACCACCATTACCTTCTTTCTGTTCTTCCAGTTTCTTCTAATATCTCTCTCCACTCTGTCCTTTTTTTTTTTTTTTTTACTGCTTTATTCCTTTTCCCCCTTTTTGAAAGAATTCAATTTTGTTGGTTGGTTGGTTTTTCCCTTTTCTTACACTATCCAAGAACATCTGAGACAAGAATATTTTGTTTGGAGTAGCTGTATAGAACTTTGGTCACTTTGTAGAAAAGAATATAAATGAATCTTCCCTATTTATTTTCTGCCATTATGACTTTTTTTCCCCTTTTTTGCTTTTCTGAGACTCTTCTGATGTTTATTTTTAAAGTCAGTATCTATTAACTACATTTATCTTTGGCATATGTTGAAGCACTCTCATTCATTGTCTTTAATTTTTATACATTTTGGAAGTTGAGTAATACACTCAGGAGGAAGTTTTTGAAGAAGAAAGAATTGACTTCTGTAGTGGAACTTTTTAAATCGGTGGCAAATAGAAGCAATGATATATTGATTTTGTTCATATTGAACCAAAATGTGATTGGAAAACCCAATTTTTAACTACACTGAGGGACATTGCGTCGTTGATATATTCATGAGTAGTTACTATATGTTATATTTTAGACAACTAGATTTATAAACAATGTCAAATGCCTTTTCTTCTAGAATTATTCTAGTATTGATGTCCTCTTACACAAAAGTAGACTCACCAAATTACAGTCTGTACAAACTTTAATAGAAATTCAGGAGTTCATCAGCTTCATAGGCAAAGAAGGTAATTTTTTTTAACTTACCTTTTTTTTTCTTTTATAATTATGGAAGAGTATTAACATTTGATTTTTTTGCTTAGTGAAAGTGATTGTTTCTTAATATGGGTTGGAAACTGTATTGAGTTCATTCTACATGTGTATATATTTTGAGATCATTGAAATAAAGATTTAAAATGGCTAACCACACTATTCTGGGCACTGGGGATGCCTAATTTGAAATAACTTTCAAAATGGTAGGGTGACTCCTATAAGATCTACAACCTCTGAGGCAGAGGGTTTTACATGATCCCATCGGAAATAAGTGACAGAACCTGCCTTGGACTAAGAGTCTTCTGGAGGATTGGCCTGAGTAGGGTGTGGAGGAGGCTTGCAGAGTGCCTGCCCATCAGGAAGTCTGCGGTGTTCCCTGATGACCAATTTCTCTTGCTCTAACTTGAAGGGAAGGGAGGCTGTGGTGGCAGTGCCCAGAAAGTGAGTGCATTTTATCCTGATACCAATGGATAGTCCCCAGCATCTAAGGGAAAGACTACATCTTTGTAATGGTCACATATTTTAATTATAAATAGGAATTTCAAATTTTGTCCTAAATAAACAATAATTATGTTAGACACTTTTAAGAGTACTAATAAAACTTGGTGTTAGTGTCTATCTACCAAATTGTTTTATATTTTAAATTAGAATTATTTTTCGAGTATATATTATTGATGTATCATTCATTAAGTGCAGTCTTTTTTCCAAGAGCAATATTCTCTCTTTTTTCACATTTGCCAGCTTTGGAATTATTTCCAGGATTTGGAATTATTTCACACATCATTTTTAAATAGCCTTATGAGTAGATTCCTTTCTCCTTATTTTGCAGAGACTTAGAGAAATTAAATAACTTGCCTAACTTACTACATGAAAAGTCCAGATTTTTAACCCAGGACTGCGCTATTTAAGCTTGTGTTTTTAACCACTGCTTTCCACCAACAGAAAGAAAACTAAAACATTTAACACTAGCAATACAAAATTTATTAAATTTCTTGAGGATTAGTGAGTCCATTTTTTCAAAACCTTTGAGGCCAGATTGTTTATTTGTTGTTTTTATTCCTGTCACCTTGTGCACACACCAGGGCCTCGGGTAGTATTCCATAATTAAAAACATCAATGAATTTCCTACTCCAGCGGTATTCACATGAATGGTAGAAACAAAGATGATAAGTAGGTCTATGCTAATCAAATCAGATTTTGTTATTTAAACAATTGGCTGCAATCCAATGAAAAAACTTTTCAGTTTCTAGTGGTTTTGGAATAATGGGTGAAGGATAGTAGATCTGTACTGAATGTAAAAGTTGTATATATTTATTACTCCATCTTTATATCCTTAATAAATTGAGTTTAATGTCAGAATGTATTAGATTTATCATGGCGACTTTATGTTGTAAAGGTAGAAGCTTTTTTTTTTTTTTTAATTTAGACAAGAAGGTTGAATTATTTCCACTTACTATAGGTTATTTTCATATTGTAAGTAGATCTTGTCATTGAATTGTGAAGTTAGTGATCCTCTAACATTACTTTTAGGTAATTTGTCATCTCAAGTACCCCTTAAGAGACTTCTAAATACCTGGACAAACAGATATCCAGATGCTAAAATGGACCCAATGAACATCTGGGATGACATCATTACTAATAGGTAAGATGTGATCCTTTTGAGTTAAATATTCTTCTGAGTGTGCCAGAATGACTTGTCTCCCAACTGTGGTTTAGAAAATCTGGTTTTTGAGTCTAATGTAGATATCTCTCATCTTATCAATTCCCCACTTAAGTTGTTCTAACAAAATTTTCCATGTTAGCAGCCCACCCCTTGTCCCCACTTGTCCCCTGTGGGGAATTGCTGCCCACTCACTTGGATTCATCTTATGTTGGGTGGTTGATCATGAACATGCTGTCACAGTGAGAGATGGCAGCGGAGAAGTGGGGGCAGCAACCATCTGTTGTGTCTCAGAGCTAAGTGTTAGATAGTGAACTGGCAGCAAAAGAAATATGCTTAATGATTTATTCTCTTATTATAACTTGGATTTTGGACACTCCCGCCTCCTGCCTCCCAACACAGTTACATAATTGTATAAATCACATTACCAGGTCTGAGGTCATTTTCATATCTTCTTTCTTTTCTTTCTTGCCTTACAATAACCCTCTAATCTTGAAGACCTATATAAACCATTTATGTCAGAGAAGCAATAGAATCAGAGAGGTTGTGAATTATTTTTTGCAAATATATTTAGTAAGTAGGACTCAGAGACTGACCTCTTGTGTGGTATTGTTACCATATGTTACTATATGCTACTTTATCAGCAGGTTTCTTTAAATTTAACTTTTACACTTTTTATTTTTTATACTGCTTTTTACATTCTATTGTGAAATAAGTTTTTATTTATAGAAAAATTTCCAGAAATATAGAACTCTACGTACCTTTCACCTAGAGCACTTTTAACCGTTTTGTTTTTGTTCGGATTTTTAAAATATTTATAATTTAGATGATGCATATACCCAATCTTTTTTCCCTTTATAAAGTAAATAATTCTCTTTCCGTATCTAGTTTTATTTACTCCAGGAGTTCTTATTTTCTTGGGCCTGACAACTATTTTTTTTTTATTTTATATATTTTTACACCATTTTTTATTTTTTCACAATGTGTGCATTTTCATCTTGGTTATATTCCCCATACAATTCCCACCACCCTTATTTTGACCGTAATCCCTCCTCCCCTCCCTCCCTTTGCCCCGCCCCCCCCAGTGTGTCTCTGGTTTATCTTGTTGATTTTGATTTTTACTTTGTTATAATTTTAACCTTTTGACAGCTTGCCACATTAGCTTTTTTCTCTTTCCGCAATACACATTTATTTCCTGAACGACTTTGGCATAAGTTGCATGCATGTATCTTTTTTTTAATTCAATATTTTTATTTTATATATATATATTTTTTACATTGTTCTTGTACAATGTATGCTTTCTCCTCTCAGGTGTAGTCCCTGCGGAATTCCCACCACCAGTTCACCCATGTCCCATCACCATAGTCCCTTGTGCTCTTCCCACCCGTTTTGATCCTTCACCACCTCCTCCCCTGCAAAATGTCACTGATTTATACTTGCCTGTTGATTTTGATTTTTAATTTAATAAGGTTATTTTCTACCCCCTGATCCATTATTTGTGTCCTCTACATTCCTCCACTAAGTGAAACTATTCGGTATTTTTCTTTTTCTTTCTGGCTTGTTTCACAGAGCATAATCCCTTCCAGCTCCATTCATGTTGCTGTGAATGGCATGAGTTTATGTTTTATGATTGATGAGTAATATTCCATTGTGTATATATACCACATCTTCTTGATCCAGTCATCTATTTTTGGGCATTTGGGTTGTTTCCATAGCTTACCTATTGTAAAAAGTTGTATGCATGTATCTCTTTACCTCTTTATCAGTGTACATATCCTAAGAAAAAGAAAATTATATAACCACAGAACAACAACTTTGCTGTTTTCATTTTTAATCTACAGCCCCAATTTCAGTTTTATTTCCATTTAATGTTCATTAAAACTCTTTCTCCATTTAAGACAGGATCCAGTTTAGAGTCATATACTACATTTAATTGATATATCTTTTTAGTCTCCTTTAATCTGGAACAGTTCTTCTTCAGTCATTTTTCCTGGCATTGGCACTTTTAAGCAGTGTTCCTCAGTTTGGGTTTGTCTATATACCCTCATGATTATATTGATTGATACATCCCTAGACAGAGTCTTAAGTTTTCTTCCTAGGGTATCATGTCTGTAGCAGAATTGTCTTTTGTTGTTGATAGCAACTTTGCCTGGTTAAAATATTGTCTAATGTCTCTAGTGTATAGTGTTTGTTCCTGTTTTGTTTTCTTTCTCTTAGCAACTAATAAGTAATTTGGCAGATGCTTTAAGACATGAATATATCCTGTATCTTATGAGACTTACCCTCTGTTTGTATATATGTGAGTGACTTTTGACCCAAACTAGTACTGACATTAGTGGTTGCAAGATATGGTTTTCTTACTCAACCACTTGTTCTACTGTTATCTATACTGTTATCTATCTATATTTTATTGTAAGGCAGTTCCTTCCTTACTCCCCAAACCTGCTTATTTGCTTATTTAAATTTTATTTATTTATTTATTTTTTTTTTTTTAATAGAGGCATGCTTTATTTATTTGTTTTGCTGGTTTGTTTGTTTGTTTTGTTTATACATGCACTGGGTACAGTCAGAAGTGTGGGAGGGTGAGAGAATTCACCAGAGCCAGAGTGGGGAGCAGAGCAGGCAGAAGGACTGAAGTACACTGCTGAGGGGAGCAGCGGGCGGCAGGAGAGGTCTGCGCACCATGTGGGACCCTCGCCGGCGGCCGGGGAGCAGCCAGGGATCGAACCGGCGCCACAGAGGCCGCGGGCAGCTTCGCAACCCAGCGCTCAACCGCTGCGCCACCGGGGAGGCCCCTGCTTATTTAAATTTTAACTACTAATATAGATTCATGGATTTCAATTTAATTTGATGGAATGTAATCCATTGTTGTCCTTATTTATTTCATGTTCAAATTGTCTCACATTTGGTTAGTGGGAGTCCTTTCAAGCTGATGTTCTAGGTTGATCTTGCAAAATTATTGTTTTCTTCTAGAAATATTAGCATTTTAGTTCTTTACATGGAGATCTACAATTCTATGGAAGATAACATTTGTAGATGGTATTAGTGGTATATGTCTCTTTTCCTTATCTACTTGTCTATACCCATTTGTTAAAAAATTTTACTGAACTGAATTATCTGAATTTCATATTTCAATGGAATTATGAATTTCATAATTGAATTGACTTCATTTTGAAAAACCAATGACCACAGGTATGTGTGGATCTAAACATTTTTTGAATGCTCTCTCTGTTCCTTGTTTTATGTCTTTTCATATCAAACTGCCTTCAGTACTGTTGCTTATAGTATGTCTTAAATTGGGGTGAATCAGTGACATTTTTTCTTTATGAATGTCATTTTATTTTTTTAGGTTACTTTGACTTACACATTCATTATAAAATCTGCTTATCATTTTCTACCAAAAAAACCCACAAAACCTGAGTTTGATTGGAATTTTATTGACCATAGGTTAACTTCAGGGAATTACCATCATAGCAATATAGAGTTATATGATACAAGAATATAGTGTGTATTTTTTTAAGAACATTGTAATTTTTTTTTCATTTATTTATGCATACAAGAGCTGGAATACAGGCCAGAGGTGAGGTGAGTGAAAGGATTCACTGGAGACAGAGTGGGGAACAAGACAGGCAAACTGACTGAAATATACTCCTGAGGGGAGTAGCAGGCGAGACAGGAGAGGTCTACCTCACCATGTGGGTCGCTCCCTGGCTGGCTGGGGATAGAACTTGTGCTGCAGGGGCTGCGGATTGCTTCATAGTGTGGTGCTGAACCCCTTGATGTTACAATTTATACATTTATACATTTTATATTGTATATTTTTTAAGTTCTCTTTAATAACATTTTGGATGTCTTTTATTAGATTTATTCCTAAGGATTTTATGGTTTTGGACTATAAATGGGTCTTCCGTCCCCAACTGTGTCTTACAAGTATTTGCTGCTTATGTACTAGTTTTTCAAAAATTTTGCTTTTTTTTTTCCATGAGTGTGTACTAAACTTTGTCAAATGCTTTTTCTGTGTCTACCTCATTGATCGTATTGTTTTTCTCCTCTGTTGTGTATATGTCTGCTAAGTTTGTTTGGTGTATAGTATGTTCCCTCATTCATTCTCTGGAACATGTGTTGAGATTGGAATACTGTTGAGCATAATAATATCCTCAGCTATTATTGTATTGTTGTTTGTTATTTTTAAAACTTTATTTTATTTATTTATGAATACAACAATTGGGGAGGATTCACCAGAGATAGATTGGGGTGCAGAACAGGTGGATCTGCTGAAATATACTGCTAACCATGTGGGTTAGCTCTTGTCCAGTATTGAACTCATGTCACAGTTGCTGGCAGTAGCTTGTTAGAGCTGAGATTTAACCCCCTGCACCTCCCTGTATTGCTGTTTATTTTTCCTGGTAGTTGTAGTGTTTGTTTTTGGTGCTCCAATGTTTGGTGCATAAATATTTAAATTGTTATATTTTCTAGATGGATTAACTTCTATATCATCATAAGATGAACTCCTTTTTATAATTGTTAGCTCTAAGTCTATTTTGTCAGCCAAAACTATCACTGATTTTTTTTGCTTGCCATTGGATTGAAATATCTTCTGCCATCTTTCACTCTCAGTATGTGTGTGTGTTAAAGCTGAAGTGAGTCTCTTGTAGGCACCATATTGTTGTATTCTTTTTTTAAAAAATCCTGTCCAACCATTCTGTATTTTTTATTGGATAATTTAATTCATTAATGTTTAAAATAATTGTTGATATATCAGGACTTACTATTGCCATTTTGTTAATTGTTTTCTGACATTTGTAGACCTATTACTGTTCCTTATCTTGCTGTCTTCTTCTGTGATTTGATGACTTTTTGCATGGGATAGATAGCTTTGACTTCTTTGCCAGGATTTTTGTTGTACCTCTACAGGTACAATCCTTTGTGATTGACATGAGGACATAAAATATCTTATAATTGTAACACTATTTTTTAAGCTGATAACATTTTAACTATCATAACATTCCTTAGTTTAAAGCTTTTATGCTCTTCCTCACAGTTTAGGTTATTGATGTTACAACTTATGCATTTTATATTGTATATTCAGAAACAGACTATTGTAATTATGGGTTTTTAAGTATGTTAATTATATAACTCCTAAACTAGGCTGTTAAGTGAATTACACATCATTATTACCATGTTAGACAATCTGGCCTTGACTTTATATATTATATATTTGATGTGTGGTTTTCTTCGTTTTTATATTATCTTTTTTTGGTTTTGGTATTAATGTTGACCTCATAATTTGTTTGCAAGTGTTCTTTCTTTTTAAGTTTTTTAGAAGAGTTTGAGCAGGATGGGTATTGGTTCATTTTGAAGATTTGTAGAACTGACTTGTGATGTCATCTGGTCCTGGACTTCAGTATTTTGGAAGAGTTTTGATAACTGTTTCAATTGCTCTGCTTGTGATTGGTTTGTTCAGGTTTTCTAATTTCTTTCCCATTCAGTTTTGGATGGTTGTAAAAATCTAAGATCTTGTCCATGTCTTCTAAGTTGTCGAATTTATTAAAATATGTATCTTCATAGTAGTCTCAAATTATTCTCTGAAATTCTGCAGCATCTGCATTTTTTTTTTTACTTTGTTTCATATTCCACTCATGTTTTTTGCTCATTTGCATCTCAGTTACACTGAATCGTTCTTCCATTTGATCTAATTTACCTAACTTTCTCAGGAATTATTCATCACCTGTTTTTCTCTTTTTATATCTTGAATTTCAATTGTTATCTTATTGAGAGCTTTATTTTCTATCTTCTGTTCATTGATTTTATTTCTTTCATTTGTTTTTCTGAGTTTTCTTGTTATCTTCCATTTCTTTGAATTTATCAGGGTTTGAAACTCTGATAGGAAGACTATATCTTTCATGTCTTTAAAGTTGGTTTCTGGATGTTTTTTCACTCTTTTTGTTTTCATTGCTCCCCTGAGGTCTTGTTTGGCCTTTTGTTCTGCTCTTTTCTCTCCATTATTTGCTTTGGGCTTCCACTGCTATAACTGAGGCTTCTGCTGGACTCCTTCCCTGTCAGGGTTCTAGTTGCCTAACTAGTCTGGGTGAAGTCAGGATTAATGGGTCTCGTGGGTTATTTCATTTCATTCCTGATGCATATTTGCTCTAGATGTAGAATTCTGGGTAGATTCCCCCTTCACCATCAGCGCTATAATTTGTCATCTAAGTTTGTGAAAAGAAAGATGCAGTTGTTAGTAAAATTGTTTTTCCCCTGTATAAATAATTTTTCTGGTCTTATTTCAAGATTTTTTCCTTTGTGGTTATGAGAATTTTGTTTATCATGTAGCTAGGTGTCATTTTCTTTGAATTTTTCACTTGTGAGGTTTACTGATCTTCTTGAATTGTGTATTTATGTCATTTTTTTCCTGAAAATTTTTTCTCTAATTTTTCTTTTTGTCTTTCTTGGGTTTCAATTACTTATTTATTTCAACTTTGACACTCTCTTGGTTTCCCAAAGCTTTGTTCATTTTTTTCTCTTTTTTCCTCTTTATTCTAGTTGCTGCTTTTCATACTGTTTCTTTATTAAAACACATATATTTCATTTATTTCTTGTGTATCTTATTTTTTTTGTCTCTTGGAGAATAGTTAGAATTTTGGTGCTTTTAGCTAAAAAGAAACTTTTCCAAAGAGGAAATGCAAATGGCCAACAGGCATATGAAAAAATGTTCATCACTTGTAATCAGGGAAATACAAATCAAAACTACAATGAGATACCATCTTACACCGGTGAGAATGGCACATATTAAAAAAACTAGCAACAACAAATATTGGTGAGGATGTGGCGAAAAAGGAACTCTCCTGCACTGCTGGTGGGAGTGCAAACTGGTCCAACCACAATCTGGAGAGCTGTCTGGAGATTCAACCTGCTAAAGATGGAGCTTCCATATGGAGCTTCCAGCAATTCCACTCCTAGGTATTTACCTAGAGGACACAGAGTCATTAATTCAAAAGGGCACCTGCACCCCTATGTTTACAGAAGCACTATTTACAATAGCTAAGCTTTGGAAACAACCCAAATGCCCAAAAATAGATGACTGGATCAAGAAGATGTGGTACATATACACCATGGAATATTACTCAACAATCAATAAACTCATGCAATTTGCAGCAACATGGATGGAGCTGAAAGGGATCATGCTCAGCGAAATAAACCAGAAAGAAAAAGAAAAAATACCAGATGGTCTCACTCACAGCAGGAATTTAGAAAACCTAAATAAGGGATCAGGAAAAAGACTAATTATAATAAAGTAAAAATCAAAATCAACAAGCAACTATAAACGAGACACACTACGGGGGTTGGGGGGGGACAGTGTAGGAGGGATTACAGTCAAAACAAGGGTGGTGGGAATTGTGTGGGGACAATAACCAATATGAAAATGCATACATTATGCAAAAATGAAAAATGATGTAAAAATATATAAAATAAAAGAATATTGGTACTTTTGTAATCATTCCAATACATGGGTGACCTTAGAGTTGACATCTATGATCATCTTCTCCAGTGAGAATGGAGATATATTTTCCTGATTCTTTGTGTATCAGTTATTTTTGAGATGTTGAACATTATCTTGTATAAACTATAAATTATTTTATAATTCTCTGGAGAATGTAAATTATTTTATTTAGCAAATTATTAGCCCTGTAAGATTTGAATAGTAGTCTGTGTTGCCTTCATTGGGTCGAACTGCAGTTCATTTTTCAAGTCTTTCCTTCATTGTTTGGTGTCAGTTCTCTGTATGTAGACCTCAGGGAGGTAGGCTGAGCCCTGTGTAGCTACAGCTGTAGGATTAGAATATCCCTTCTCTGGCTTTCTCAAGAATTCTCCCTCAATCTTTCATCTACCTAGGTTCCTTCCCAGGTTTATCTGGACATAATATACCAGGTTTTCTATTGGAATTATAGTCACAGGCTGCCACAACTCTCTTCATCTGCAGCTGGCGTCATGGCAAAACTGGAACAAGAAAGAAAAATAACAGGAAACTCATCCCAAACACAGTACATTTTGCAGTTTTACCTCTCTGGTGTTTTTTCCTTTCACTTTTTAGGTGGCTGTATTTTGCATTTTATCCAGAGATTCTAGTTGTTAACAGCAGGATGATGATATGCAGGGCCTCACAATGCTGTGCCAGAACCAGAGCTCTGTTATTTTTGGAAAGGTGCTTTTCTTGGCTCACCAAGGACAAAAATATGCCCTGTACTCTAGCATTTCTCTACCTTTGTTTAGTTTATTTCTCTGGAAGTTCTTTATGTCCTCTATTGCCTGCAACTGAATGCATTTTTCGAAACGTAGGAAAAAGTCCATCTCATTTTGTGATAAGTTAATTTATCTCCTCTATTTGTCCTCTTCCCCTTTCTGTGAGTACATGCTAATTTATACTTACTAGTAATGTATAACATTTTTGTTTCATTCTTTTATTATTTCTTGAAATGATAATTAAGTACCTATTTTTTGTGACTTTTACTTGTTCTCATAAATTAAAGAGGGAGCATAAAAAAGCAATAGCAGCTCTAGGGAGAGAGGGGATACTTTCATAGGGGGAAGGAACAAAGAAGCTAGTAGATAACTAGAAAGGCTTGAATTTGGGGAATAACTAAAAATAAAAGAGATGTATGGGACTTGTTACTTTATCTGGCCACAGTCTTTCTATGTAAAATGAAATTAGCTCCTGGTTTAATAGAAAGTCACTTGATTGTTGACTGGGGTGAATTTTGTATGTAAAATCCTTTGTCAGTGTTACTGACAAGGAACACCAAATACTGGAACATTATGATACAAACAAAAAGAATGTCATGGCAGTTTATCCTTACCTTTTAATATTCTCAGTGATTTTAATATGTTGGCTGTTTTACATTTTTTACATTTGGAAATAGAATCCTAAAATGGGAATATTAGGAGAAAAAATGGCCTTTGAGTCAACTCAGGGTGTGTTAACCATTCATTAAGAGAGAAAATTGTGGCTTTAATTATTTTGTGGCAGTGAAGGCAATAAATGATATCTGGAAAATTCCTTTGAAGTATTATTGGTGAGTTGGTCAATTAAAATGCATATTAAATCCAATGCCTAGAATGTAAATTTATAATCCAATGACAGAACATTTAACAACTATAGAATTTCTGTCTGTAAATGCTATTTAGTAGCTTCCTATATGTCAAAGATTTTTTTGTGGCTCTCTGGTTTTAATTTTCGTATTTCCTTGTTTTCTATAGATGTTTCTTTCTCAGCAAAATAGAAGAGAAACTTACTTTTCTTCCAGATGATAACAGTATGAATGTAGATGGAGATGAAGTTTTCAGTGAAAACATGGAAGTGCAGGAGCAGGGAGAAAGCATGCATTTTCTAATTAAGAGCTGCAAATTTTCTATGAAAATGAAGATGATAGAAAGTGCAAGAAAACAGGTAGTTACTGATTTGTGTTCCTCTTTCTAATTTACCCTTTTTAACTTTATTTTTCCTTAAATTCTGAACCTTAAAGATAATTGAGTAAGTATCTTTCCTTTTTTATAAGAAATTAAATTTGAAGAAGCACTTAATTAGCAAGAAAACCTCATAAATTTATTACATTTTTAATCCCTGCGAGTTAATTATGTTATATTAATTTAGAAGATAATGAACCAAACTTGTGTAGTCTTGTTTAACAAAATGAAGACTTACGTGTTAGTTACAAATTATATTTAAATTTAGTTTGTGGATATCTATCATTTGACAGTAAAACCCTTCTTTAAATAAATATGCTTTGCTTAAAATTTTATACAAAGCTTATTTTTATGTTAAGTCATTTGAAAATAGGAATTTATTCTTTTATTGATCTTATCTTGATTGTTATAAAAAGCAGAGAGACTGGCCCAGCCATCCCAGCCACACCGACAATGGGAAAACCCACCAAGGCCTGCCTCTGGGCCCATTCACCATAGATGCCCTGCGATCACACCCCATGTTGGTATCTGCTCTGGGGCAACTACTGTACATAACCTGTTAGAATTCCAGAATAGTGGGAGAGGAAGACCTATGACCAACAGAAGCCCAACTAGAGCGTAGCAAACCCTAAAGTAAACAGTGTGGAGAAAGAAAAATGCAAATGGTCAAGGAAGTCCTTGGGGGAACAATACACCACAGAAAGAAAACCAATCTCCAGAAGCCAACAACATACACATGGAAAAGATTTTCTTCCTGTCAGATAAAGAATTCAAAATTGCCATAATTAAGAAAATCAAAGAATTAAAATAATACAAAGAAAACTCAAAAAAACAGATTAGAGATATACATGAAAAATCAGAAAAGGAAAGGAATGTTATGAGAAAGAATTAGTAAACAGAAAATCAAGATTGAAACTTCAATAAAGAAAATAATGGAATTGCAAGATGTAAATAATAAGATCAATGGATGAGGTAAAAAATTCTGGAGAAAACCATGGAAGTAAATTAGACCAAATGAAAGAATGAATCAGTGATCTCTCAGATACAGATGGGAAAAGAACCAAGATGGACAAAGAGAAATACAAAGGAAAAAGAATGACAAAACACTTCAATAATTATCTGACACCACGTGGAAAGAAAATATAAGAATCATAGGAATCCCAGAAGAAGAAAAGAGATGGAAGGGAACTGAAGATCTATTTAAGGAAATAAACTTGAAGAAGAAAATGAACATACAAATATAGGAACCTAAAAGAACACCAAACTACCTAAATATGTCTACAGCAAGGTACATAATCTTGGGGAATTTGCAATCACTAAAATTGCTGTACAAACAATACTAAAACAAGTTTCATATTTAGATCAAAGAGGAATGGACATAATGAACTGAACAAGAAATTAAATAAAAACTCAAAACTATGAACAGAATGGTGTTAACAGCCTTCCACATATCAACAGCAACTCAAAATTTCAATGGAATGAACTCTGCAAAAAAAAAAAGACAATGTATTCGTGGATTAGGAAACAGAATCCAACCTTCTGCTGCCTGAAGGAAATGCACAAGTAAATGTCAGCCAAAGGAAGGCAGGAACAGCCATTCTTATATCAGACAAAATAGACTTCCAGCTACAAGATACATGAATGGACATTATGTAATAATCAAGGGGACAATATACCAGAAAGACATAATGCTTATCAACATATACTAATCAAGTGAAGGAGCACCAAAATACATTACAGATTACTGTTGTTTCTGAAAACAGACACTGGAGAAAATACATGTGGTATAGAAGACTGCCCACTCTCACCAATTGGCAGATCAACAAGGCAGAAAATAAATAAGGACACAATAGCCCTAAACAAAGATCCAGACCACATGGACTTAACACACATTTATAGGGCAGTGTACCTTACAAAAACCATATATTGGGTCATAAGACAAATACCAACAATTACATGAAGATTGAAATATACCAGATATCTTCTCTGATTCTAAAGGTATCAAACTAGAAATCATTTCCAAAGGAAAGCAGGAAATACTGTAATCCATGGAGACAGAACAACTACTGAAAGACATCTGGATTAATGAGTAAATCAAAGAAAAATTAAAAAAAAAAAACAAGACAAATGATAATGAGTGCATTACCTTCCAGAATGTATGGAACACAGCAAAAAGCAGAAGTATAAAACAAAACAGCCCAGTAAATAAACAAGAACGAACCCAAACAAGCAACCTAATTTCTCATTTTGAGGGGTCTGAGCACTGGAGGGGTCTGCGTGCCATTTGGGACCCTCGATGGTGGCCGGGGATCGAACAGGCGCTGCAGAGGCTGTGGGCAACTTCACAGTCCAGCGCTCAACCACTGTGCCACCGGGGAGACCCAAGAAGAGAAATTTTGATTGTAATAGGAAAACTTCATGGAGAAAAAGACATTTGGATTGGATTTTATGGGAATGGTAGAATTTGACTTGGAGAATGGTATTCTCAATGTATGATATATTCAAACAGTCATGAAGGTGAGAAAATGGAAATTGCAGAGCTTGTTTTGAGCAGAGTGTGGGATGGTCTCATTGAGACTGTATTGAGGTGGATCATGGAGCATTTGAGTGCTGAACTAAGGAATGGTGATTCTATACTATTCCTCTACTATGACTTCAGAAGTCATTGAAGGTTTTTCAAACTTTATAGCTAATTTGGAAGCTATATAGAAGATCTGACTGTTGAGGGGAAAGTCTTGAATTAGGGAAGTCGTGGTAGGGAGGAAAACAATGTGAAGGACATTGTATAAGTAAATGTAAGAAAACCTGAGATATTAGAAATAGTAGAGAGTGTGCAGTTAAGGATGATTTGGATTATTAGACTGGTGATTAGGAAGTAAAAGGTCTTATGAAAAAAAATGTCCCTTGATGCTTAGGAGAGAATTAGAGGTTTAGATTTAAAAAACTGACATAACAAGCAACCAAATAAAAATAGAATTGTATATTAAAACTAAAAACTTCTGTGCCTCAAATGATGGAGTCAAGAAAAGTAAAGAGACAGAGAAAATATTTGGAAATCATATACCTGGAAAGAGTCTACTTACCCAGGATACATAAAGAGCTATAACAGCTGAACAGCAGAAAGTCAAACCACTCAACTGAAAAATGAGTGAAGGACGTGAATAGACATTTCTTCAAAGAAGCTACACAGATGGCCAACATGCACATGAAAAGAAGTTCAACATCATTGGTTACTCGAAAAATGTAAATGAAAAACCCAGTAGGATAGCACTTATACCAGCTATAATGGCTATAATCAAAGATGAAATAAGTGTTGGTGAGGATGTGGAGAAATTGGAATTCTTAACTCATTGCTACTGTGAATGTACAATGGTGTACCTGCTCTGGAAAACACTGACAGTTCCTCAAAAAGCTAAACACAGGTTTACCAATTTGATCTAGCAGTTGGACTCTTATATAGACACCTAAGAGATACCAAAAGCATGTATACTCACAGAAATTTGTACTTAGATGTTCACAGCAACATTATTCAAAATACCCCAAAACTAGAAACAGCCTATCAATAGATGAATGAATAGATAAAATGTGATCTATCCATGCAATAGATTCTTATTCAGTCATAAATAGGAATAAGTACTGATATACATGCTGTAACTGGATGAACCTGGAAAATACTATGCTATTTGAAGAAGCCAGATACAAAATCCTTACATATTTTCATTTTCCATTGATATGAAATACTCAGAATAGGAAATGCATAGCAACAGTGATTATAAAATGGGGAGCATACATCATAGCCCAAGAGTTTCTTTCTGGGTAGATGAAAATGTCCTGGAATTAGAGAATGTTGATTGTGTTCTAACTTTGTGAATACACTAAAAGATAATGTATTGTACACTTTAAAATGTGAAATGTGTCCCCGTGGCATATAAAATACATTCATGTAATTTAAGCTGAGGAGTTGGATTAGCTGCTCTAAGGTGAATGATGTTATGCAAAAAAAAAAAAAAAAAAAAAAAAGGGAAACAGGCCAGTAAAGCTTAAAATTAAAAAAAACTCTTGTAAAACACTTTTATTTCTAAGTTATCACCTGTATGTCATCATACTCGTTTCTTTTTCTGTTGCATAGAACAATTTCTCGCTTGCCATGAAAATATTAAAGGAGCTGCATAAAGAGTCGAAAACAAGAGATGACTGGCAAGTGAAATGGACACAGAGCTATTGTAGGCTCAGTCACAGCCGGAGCTGGAGCCAGAGCTGTCCTGAGCAAGTTCTCACTGTGCTGAAGACAGTCTCCTTGTTAGGTATTTGACTAATCTTGTCCATAGCAGTTTGAGTACTATTTTACATTATGTCTGTGTGCCTTTAAAATTGTTATTTCTGTTGCTGACATTTGGGAATTGAACCTTTGTAATAATTTTATTAAATATTTGAAGCCAAGGTACTTTGTATCCTGATAATGCTAAAGAATATGACATTTGGTGCTTTCACTTCTTTATCTATAAAATAAAATTGAAATTAAAAATTTCCCTTTAATTTGCCCAAATTATGGGTCTAAGAATTCAGTTATTTTGAAAATTTTACTTTTATATGTAAGAATGAAATTGTAAAAAGTTCAACATGTGAAGCATTTTTCTTCCTCAGTTCTTGTTCTGAGCAGAGAGCCTTTATGACTAAGGGGAGAAAAACTTTCTCTGGAGATTTGGTTTCTTGCCAAGTCTGCTCTGTTACCATAAGTTCAAGAGGACGTCGTAACATGATTATTGAACATGTTGGCAAAATTCTGAATCTCCATTTTCAGTAGGACACTACATTATACCAGAGTCTCAGTCTTCGTAAAGTACAAATAGGGGAAGCAGACTTTCCATTTTGACCCCAGGATTAGAAAATCATACTTATGATTCCTTTAGTATTTTTTTTTTTTTTGAGGGGGCGGTTTCGGGAGAGGAGAATTTGCTGATATTAAGATAACACAACTCAATAATCTCTAGTTTTAGTCATTATATTATAGTTGCAGTGTGTAACAGCTTTGTGCAATAAGCAGGGGCAATTGTTATGCTCATGTGTCAGAGAAATCTGGCATAGAATTCTGATCCATGGATGAGCAGGGCAGCGTGCTAGATGACTACCATTTCTCTTTTGTACCCCCTCTTTGTAGCTCTGCATGCTGCCAACTTGACCAGACTAGACAAACTCCTGATCCAGAACCCATGCTAAGAGCAGAACTAGACCTTTAAATCTAACAGTTGCTGTTGCTTTATCAGCTATACATCACAATATTTAAAATCTTTTTTGGGTTATTAATGTATAAACACAAATGCATTAAGAAGAGCCATTTTCTATCCTTTGTAACATACATAATTAGGTACTTTGACAATACAGAGTAATGTTGCTTGACAAAAAATTTATTGAATGTTTTAATTGCTTTACCTCTGTGGACATTGATATAATCACTGCTGAAATAGAACTTTTGTTTTTCATGAAAGTGCAAGAAATTTCCTAACCAATGTTTGAAAGCAATTTCTCATACCTTCAAGATGTATTTTTAATTAATATCTCAGAAAACTTGTGCATTTTGAATGCTTTTTATTCATGGTATTCATTTACATCTGAAAAATTTGTGTGTTTGTATTTTAAATCCATCAGGTGAGAACACATCAGGCTACTTTAGCAAAAATACTAGAGCATTTCTTGACCAAAATATTCTCCTGGGTAAAACTTACAAGATAATAGGGGATGCTCTTAGCAGTGAGCCAGCCTGCCTTGCTGAAATCGAGGAAAATAAGGCTAAAAGAATATTGGAACTTTCTGGGTCCAGTTCAGAGAATGCAGAAAAGGTAACAAAAAGTATGTTTTTATTTTTTTCTTTTTGAGGTAACATTGGTATGTTACAGAGGTATAGGATCACATCTTTTGAGACATGTTACCATACCCTTCACTAAGGCACCCATAGTCATCTACTGTAGTCTATTTGGCTTTCTTCAGCTTTAAACTCCATTTTCGCCCACCATCTCTGGTACTCTCAGTTATTTAGTCATATTCCTAGGATTTGTTTTAGGTTTAGTTTTGTTTGACTCTTTGTTTTGTTTTTCTGTATTCCACATAGAAGTGAAATCTGGTATTTATCCTTTTCCTTCTGATTTATTTGGCCTCCAATTCCATCCTGTTGTTTCCAGTGGATTTATACCTGAGGAGTAATCCATTGGGGGTATACTGCATCTTCTTAATCTACTCATTTGTCATTGGGCACTAATGTCTCCATAGCTTAGCTATTGTAAATAGTACTGCAGTGAATTTAGAGTGCATATATCCCTTGAAATTATTGTTTTTGCAATTTTAAAATATTTTTTATGTTTTTTACTTCATTCTTCATTCTCATCTCGGTTATAGTCCCCATGAAATTCCCACAAACAATTCACCCGTGTACCATCACCATAGTCCCTTGTGCTCTTACCACCCCTGTTTTGATCCTACTCCCTTCTCCCCTCCTCTGTAGAAAGATTTGTTGTCCTCATTATCATTTATAGTTGCCTGTTGATTTTGATTTTCACTTTAGTATACTAACTTATTTTTCCCCCATTGATCCCTTATTTGGATACTTTTACAGTCCTCCAGTAAGTGAAACCATCGGTAATTTTCTTTTTCTTTATGGCTTATTTAACTGAGTATGATCCCTTCCAGCTCCATCCATGTTACTGCAAATGGCATGAGTTTATCTTTTGATTGCTGAGTAATATTCCATTGTGTATATATACCACATCTTCTTGATCCAGTCATCTATTTTGGGGCATTTGGGTTGTTTCCATAGCTTAGCGATTGTAAATAGTGCTGCAATAAACATAGGGATGCAGGTGTCCTTTTGAATTAATGTTTTTGTGTCCTTTGGGTAGATACCTAGGAGTGGAATTGCTGGAATCATATGGAAACTCCATTTTTAGCAGATTGAGGAATTTCCACAGAGCTTTCCATAGTGGTTGGACCAGTTAACACTCCCACCAGCAGTGTAGTAGAGTTCCTTGTCCACATCCTCACCAACATTTGTTGTTGCGAGTTTTTTTAATATGTGCCATTCTCACTGGTGTAAGAGGGTATCCCATTGTGGTTTTGATTTGCATTTCCTTGATCACACATGATGTTAAACATTTTTTCATATGCCTTTTGGCCATTTGCATTTCCTCTTTGGAGAAGTGTCTTTTGAACTCTTCTGCCCATTTTTGACTGGATTGTTTACTTTGTTTTTGTTGAGTCTCATCAGATCTTTGCAGATTTTTTTTTTAAAAGATTATTTATTTATGCAAGCACTGGGTACAGTCAGTAGTGTGGGAGGGTGAAAGAATTCACCGAGCCAGAGCGGGGAGCAGAGCAGGCAGAAGGACCAAAGTACACTGCTGACGGGAGCAGCGGGTGGCAGGAGAGGTCTGCGCGCCACGTGGGACCCTCCTTCAGTGGCCGGGGAGCAGCCGGGGATCGAACCGGCTCTGCAGAGGCTACGGGCAGCTTCGCAACCAAGCGCTCAACTGCTGCGCCACCAGGGAGACCCTCTTTACAGATTTTTGTGATCAATCCCTTATCATTAGTATTGCCTGCAAAAATTTTCTTCCAATCAGTAGGGTTTCTCTTTGTTTTGATTAATGTCTCATTTGCTGTACAGAAGCTCTTTAATTTGATGTTGTCCCAGCTGTTAATCCTTTCCTTCACTTTCTTTGCTTTGGGTGATGTGTCTTTAAAGATGTTATTGAGGGGTATGTCAGGGAGTGTTTCACCTATTTTTTCTTCTATATATTTTATAGTTTCAGGTCTTATGTCTGGTTCTTCAATCCATTTTGAGTTGGGTTTTGTGCATGGTGTAAGGTAGTAGTCTAGTTTTATTCTTTTGCATGTAACAGTCCAGTTTCCCCAGCACCATTTATTAAATAAACTTCCTTTGTCCCATTGCATATTCTTTGCTCCTTTGTCAAAGATTTGTTGTCCTCATTATCATTCATCTCCAGGTATTTTTAATTTCTTCTTTGATCTCATTGTTTCAGTGGTTTTCCAGTAGTGTGGATCAATCTCCATGAGGTAGGAGGGTTCCTTGTGTTCTTTTCATTGCTTACTTCTAGTTTGGTGTCTTCATGGTCAGAGAAGATAGTTAGTATGATTTCAATTTTAGTGTATCTGTTGACATTTGTCTTGAGTCCTAGTATGTGATCAATCCTGGAGAATGATTCGTGTACACATGAGAAAAATATGTATTCTTATTTTTTTGGGTATAGTGTTCTATAGATGTTTGTTAAGCCCATGAGTCTAAATAAGTCCTTATTTAGAGCTTTAGTGTCCTTGGTTATTTTTTGTTTCGTTGATCTATCCATTGTCGAGAGTGGAGTGTTTAAGTCTCCCACTATATGCGTATTTGCTGTAAAGTCTGTTTTCAGAGATGATAATAATTGCCTGATATATTTTGGTTATCCTTCATTTGGTAAGTATATGTTGATGAGTGTTATGTCTTCTTGATGTATTGTCCCCTTAATCATAATGTAGTGACCGTCTAAGTCTCATTTTTCCTTTTTTAGTTTGAAGTCTATTTTATCTGATATAAGTATAGCTGTTCCTGTCTTCTTTTTTGGTCCATTTGCCTGTAGGATTGTTTTCTATCCTTTTACTTTCATTCTATTTTTAGCTTTTGTAGTTAAATGTGTTTCCTGAAGCTAGTGAAAGGTTGGGTTCTATTTCTTATCCAGGTTACTACTCTGTGTCTTTTTATTGCTGAGTTTAGTCCATTTATATTTAGAGTTAATATCGATACATTGGCATCTTTATTTGCCATTTTGTCTTTTTGTGATTTTGTTCCTTGTCTTGTTTCATTCTTCTTATTCATTCCTCTGTTGGTTTTAGCTTTAGGACTTCTTGTAGTATTTTTTTAGAGTGTAATGAAATTACACTCTAATTAGTTAGTTGTAATGAAATTCTGGAGTTTCTGTTTGTCTGAGAAGGTCCTTATTCTTTCTTCATAGAGGAAAGAAAGTTTTACAGGGTGAGGTATTCTTGGTTGGCGTTTTTTGAATATGGCCCTCTACTCTCTGCTTACCCATAGTGAATTCTGGGAGATATCTGATGTCAGCCTGATTGGTTTTCCTTTATCTTTTTCTTCCCTCTTGTGAGCTTCATTATTTTTTAAGGAAAGGGTCTTGGATTCTTGGGAGCTTTACTATTGTGTGTCTTGCTGTATTTTTCTCTTCATCATGGAAGCTTGGTATTCTCGCTGGGCTCTTTCTGGTTTCTTAATCTGTGCCTGTATTGCTATATATGTCCCTGTTAGAACTGCTTTTGCTGTGTCCCCCACATTGTGAAGGTTGTGTCCTCATTATCGTTTTCCTCAAGGTATTTTTTGATATCTTCTTTATTTCCTCATTTACCCATTGATCGTTTAGTAGTGTATTAATCTATCGCCACATATTAAGGTATTGTTTTCTTTTTGTAGTTGATTTGTAGTTTAGTACCTTTATGGTCAGAGAAGATACTTGGTATGATTTCTATCTTCATGAATTTATTAATGTTTGTCTTGTGACTCAGTGTGTGCTTCATTTCTGAAAATGACCCATGTGTATTCAGCTTTTTTTGGTTGTAGTGCTCTGTAAATGTCTATTAGACCTATGTAGTCTAGTTCTTTGTTTAGAGTGATTATGTCTTTATTTGCTGACTCATTGATCTGTCCATTGGTGAGAACTGGATATTAAAATCTCCAACCATATATTTTTCTCCAGTGTCTGTTTTTAGATTTGGTAGTAATTGTTGATATATTTTGGTGCACTTTCTTTTGTTGAGTATGTACTGACGAGTGTTATGTCTTCCTGTTGTATTGTTCCCTTGATCATTATAAACTGCCCATCCTTGTCTCTTTTTACTTTTTTTAAGCTGCAAGTCTATTTTGTCTGATATAAGTTTGGCTATTCCTGCCTCCTTTATGTGCCATTTGCTTGCAGGATCATTTTTTTATCCCTTTATTTTCAGCCTATTTTTATCATGGTAATTGCATGTGTTTCCTGAAGGCAGCAAAAAGTTAGGTTCTGATTCCTAATCCAGTTATATACATTGTGTCTTTTATTGATGACTTCAGACCATTAACATTTAGACTATTGACATGAGGTGTCTGTCACTGTCATTTTGTTCCTAGCTTTGGGCTTCTATTTAATTCTTTATTCACTTCTTTGTGTTCATTTGTTTCTCTACTTTAGACCCTAAGGCTTCTTGCGGTATTTCTTCAAAGGGGTATTTAGTGAATGTAAACTCCCTAACATTTTTTTTTTTTTTTGAGAAGGTCATTATCTTTCTTTCATACAAGAAGGGGGATCCCTGTAAGATAGAGTACTCTTGATTAGCTTCCCCTCCACTTTATTTGAATATCTCATTCCTTTCTTTTCTTTTCTTGCCCTCAGTGTTTCTTTAGAGAGATACATTGTTAGTCTAATTGATTTTCCTTTACAGGTTGTCAGTTTCTTACACCTCATCAGCTTCATAAATTGTTTCCTGTCTTGGAATCTTGGACATTTTACTATTATGTGTCTTAGTATAATTTTCTTGTCATCTAGGTAACTAGCTATTCTTTTTGCTTCTTGTATTTTTAGGTTTGTTTTCTTCTCCAAGTCTGGGAAGTTCTCTTCCATTATTTTCCTAAACAGATTCTCACTTCCCTTCCCTTTCTCCTCTCCTTTTGGGACTCCTGTGATTCTTATATTCCTTCCTTTGGGTGTCATGTAGTTTTTGAAGTGTTTATTCATTCTTTTAACTTTGTTTTTCTCTTTCCTTTCCATCTTTCTTCTTACCTCATTTTTTTCCAGGCCATTGATTTGTTCTTCTG